AGAGAGAGAGAGAGAGAGAGAGAGAGAGAGAGAGAGGAGACAAAGAAAGAGAGAGGAGACAGAGAAAGAGAGATAGGAGACACAGAGAGAGAGAGAGAGAGAGAGGAGACAGAGAGAGAGAGAGAGGAGACAGAGAGAGAGAGAGAGGAGACACACACACAGAGAGAGAGAGAGAGAGAGAGAGAGAAGGAGAGAGGGGAGAGAGAGAGATGCAGACTAGAGTTTCCTTATGCCCTCAGATATGTCCTTCCCCCCAAGAGGGTTTGAGGTATAGAAACTTTTAAACAAGAAAAACCACAATATGTTAAAATACAGTTTACAGGTTTTCAAATCATTACCAATGAGAGTAATTATCCAGTTTTGGCACTTCCCTCAAGGAATTTCCTCCCAGTGATCGTTATCAGTGCAATCTTTTCTGAAAGGAGAAGTGTGTGTGTGTGTGTGTGTGTGTGTGTGTGTGTGTGTGTGCATGTGCAAGCATGCTGGGGGAGAGTAATGGGGGGAGGAAATCATAGCATCATCCCTTCAGGAGATGGGGAAAGGTAGCTGAGAAAGAGATGGGGGCAGCTGTTCTCAGTTGAGTCAATAATCCCACTCACTTATCCCAGGGGTTGAGGAAGGTGACAATCTAAAGAAGGCAAGAGATAGACCAGGTCCAAAATTTGGTTTCCATCCTTAATCTAAACCTTTTGTCTTCCACCTATTACCCTTCTTCATAGGCAGGAGGAAGTGCAAGTCTAGAATTAGCTTCTCATATTTTTATTATTATTTTTGCTTTTTGGTGAGGGTTAAGTGACTTGCTCAGAGTCACACAGCTAGCAAGTGTCAAGTGTCTGAGGTCTCATTTGAACTCAGGTCCTCCTGACTCCAAGGCCTGGAGCTCTATCCACTGCACCACCTAGCTGTCCCTCTCATATTACTTCTTAATATTTCTAGGGACAACTGGAGGTTTTTTTTTTTTTTAATCTCCTGTCGCTTAGAGAAGGGAGGCTGGGATGGTGGAGAGATAAGCACTTGCCATATGAGGGCTGGTTGAAGGAAGTGAGAATATTCAGCCTGGAGAAGAGAAAGAGGGGTGGAGGTGGGGAGATGATCTCTATCTTCAGGTATTTGAAGAATTGTAGAATGATTGAGGGATGGCACTTATTCTATCTGATCTCAGAAGGCAGACCTAAAAGCTATGGGCTAGAGTCAAATTTAGGCTTCAGGTCAGGTAATAATAACAGCTAACATTTATATAGCATTTACTGTGTACCAGGCATTGTACTAAACATTTTACAAATGATATCTTACTTAATCTTTACAATGACCCTGAGAGGTAGGTGCTCTTATTATCCCCACTTTATAGATGAGCAAGTTGTGGCAAACAGTGGTTAAGTGACTTACCCAGAGTCACACAGCTACTATCTGACACAAGACTCCAGAGCTAAGGCTCTACCCACTTACCTAAAAGCCTAAGGGAGGAGTGAGGGCTCTTGCAGTGTTAGTGATCCATGAGTGGAAGGGGCTGCCTGGGGGTGGGAGGGGGAGGAAGAAGGGGTTAGTGGGCTCCCTCTCAATGAAGATCTTCAAGATGACCACTTGGCAGATAGAGAGTAGAGGTCTTCTCTGTCAGATCTGAGCCTGAGCTAGCTAGGTATGACCATCTAACTCTGAAATGAGATATTGAAATGTCTTGGCTGCAGAGCTTTTCCTGGAAGTTAGTGAGACTTGGTTATTTTTAATTTCTCTTATAAACCTTTTCTCTAATGATCTTTCTTAAAAAAACAAAACCAAACAAAACAAAAACCCAACAACCAAAAAAAACCAAAACAAAATTCTCCAAAATAAAACAAAAACAAAATCTTCTTTATTCAAAATTCCAGTTAAGTGATATCAAGAGACTTGGGCTAAAGTTCAAGCTGTGTCACTAACTTGTGAGACTGCTTCTCTGGTCCTCATTCTCCTGATAAAAAGGGAGATGATCTCTGAACTTCTTTTCAGCCCTACTTGTTCTTTATTTGTTTCGTTTTGTTTAGGCAATTGGGGTTAAGTGACTTGCCCAGGGTCACACAGCTAGTAAGTGTCAAGTGTTTTGTCTGAGGCCAGATTTGAACTCAGGTCCTCCTGACTTCAGGGCCAGTGCTCTATCCACTATGGCACCTAGCTGCCCCTCCTACTATTCTTTGTTCTAAGATTCCTTCCAGAGAGGTGGTAGAAACATAGTCAGTGGAGTCAGACTAAGTGACCTTTGAGTCAGAAAGACCTGGATTGAGGTCCTGCCTTTGACAAGTACCAGTTGTGTGATCCTTCAACCCAACCCTCAGAGAATTCTGGGAGATTGTAAGAATTGCTCATCTTTAATTGGTGGAGGGATTTTTTTCCCTTCTGATTTCACATGCCATTTACAAAAGGAACCTTCCAGTTCTGTCATTCTTTGATTCTGTGGATTCCACTTAAATGAGTTTTTGTTTTTTTTTTTGAGAGAGAGAGAGAGAGAGAGAGAGAGAGAGAGAGAGTGAGTGCGTGAGTGTTTTCCTTTGGGAGCATGTACTCGCAAATCTCATGGTGCAGAAAGATAAACGAATATGAAAGATAGGTGAGTTCATCTCAAGGGAAGGGGGCCTAGAAAGAACCAAAGCCAATGGCATCTCATGGTTGTCTTGCTGTTTCTTTTCTATTTTAAGGTTGTATACTTCACAGCCACATTCCCCTTCCTCATGCTTTTCGTGCTGTTATTACGAGGAGTCACCCTGCCTGGAGCTGCCTCTGGCATCAAGTTTTATCTGTATCCTGATGCCTCTCGTTTGATAGATCCTCAGGTAAGGGACTGTCGGACCTTCCCATGGCCTCTCCTGAGACTCAGGGGCCACGAGCAGGGGAACCAGGTCTAGGGCTTTGGGGAGGAGGTGGAGTGGTCCAGAGCACTTTTTTTTTTTTCCATTACTCTCTTGGGTGCAAATATAGCACTGAATACTAACGGGTTGTGTTTTTCCACTGTGTCTCATTGAAAAGGTCATTGTTGCAAGTGTTAATGTATCTTTCCATGTGTATATCTTTTTATGTCAAAGGATTCTGAGGCTGTAGACTCTGTCCAATTATAGAATCTGGGTTAGGCTCTGGACAAGGTAAGGGAGATAACATTTTTTATGAGGATAGCTTTTCCCCTTTCCCCCCCCCCATTTTCTCCATCCCAAGGAGAGCCAGAAAAAAGGGGGACAAAGGGAACCTTGCTTGGAGGAAAGCATGGGAGTTTATCCCATACGGGGGCCTCCAGAGGAAGATGCTGAGTGAGGTAAGGGCAGTGGTCTTCAGAGTGTCTCATCAGAGTCCCCAGAGACTTAGCGTTCAGGGATCACACCTCCATGTCAGCTTACATCCGAATGATCAGAGTTAGCCCACCATAGCCTAGAGGCCACCTGGGCCTTTCTGCTTCATCTGACAGGTGAGGAGACTGAAGTGCTTAGAGGTAAACGATTTGGCCATAGTCATATACCCAGGAAGAAGCAAAGTTAGCATTTGAATCCAGGTCTTCTGAATTATAGTCTAGTCTTTTATTTTCTTCTTCCTGCTGCACTCCTTCCCATTTCCCAGGGAGAAATCCAACCTTTCTTTTTATGTGGTGATTTTCTGAAATGCCTTGGGACATCCAGGCCAGGTCACTCATGTCTGGCTCCACAGTTTTTTTCCCCCCCTACTGAAGTGCTGGGTTCAAATTCTGTAGGATTTTCTTTTGCTTTGATTTTTTAGTTCAGCTTGATTGAAAGAAAAAGTTGCTGAAGGTTCTGGGAAGCAACCAAAATTCCAGTTAAATTTTTACCTTCTTTTTCAGCTTTCTTTCTGATCCCTAGAACACTGGCTTCTCTTTTAATAAAACATCAGAAGTTTGGAAGTGCTGAATCAAATATATAGTCAGTGGGTTAAGAAAACTGCATATATAAGACACATAAGGAGAAGTAAATTTCCTTTACTCAGCCTGCTTTAGGTCACTGCCTCCTATCTGCCTAGTGCAAGGCAGCTGGGAGGGTTTATCATTAGAAACAGGGAGAAATAGTTGGAGTTGTAGTAGTGGTCCTGTACAGCTATTGTGATTTGTAACCCTGAGTGTCTACTGAGCGCACACATTTCATCAGATCTAGAACAATCCCTTACAGATCATCCGGCTCTTCCTCCTATAGAGGAGGAAACTGAGGCTGGAGAGGGGAGGTATCTTGCTTAAGGTCATCCAAAAGTAGTAAGTCTTTTTTTTTTTTTTTTTTGGTTAGGCAATTGGGGTTAAGTGACTTGCTCAGAGTCACACAGCTAGTGAGTGTTATGGGTCTGAGGTCGGATTTGATCTCAGGTCTGGTGCTCTATCCATTGCGCCACTTAGCTGCCCCACAAAAGTAGTAAGTCTTGAAAAGGCACAAATGCATTAAGGGGCTTGCCCCATATACCTCTTTATCTAGTAAGAGTGATGAGCACTCTTGCCATCTGTCAGGAGTCACTAATAAAGACGAGATTGAGCCCCCAGTCTGAAGTATCTGTTCTGAGTTCAGGCTCAGGTTTGGGGAAAAAGGGGAGCCAGGGAGAGGGGTTGGTTTGAACAAGGGCTATTGATGAAGACATAAGTCTTCAGATAATTACCAGTTGCCATCTTGGTGGGACCAAAGCTCCCTTGGGTGCCCGATATTTCTGTCTCCCCAGTGCCGTCGGATCCTCTCCTGATGGCTGGGTAGCTTTTTCTTCCTGGTCCCTTCTCTAGAGCTAGCTCCCTTGTGATGTTCTTTTTTTCTCCCCTTCCCCCTCTCTCCTTCCAGGTCTGGATTGATGCTGGGACCCAAATCTTCTTTTCCTATGCTATCTGCTTGGGGGCAATGGTCTCACTGGGAAGCTATAACAGCTACAAATACAACTGCTACAGGCAAGTCTTCCCTCCACAGGGGTGCCCGCGACTTAGCTAATCGATGATGTGTAAACAGAAAAAAAAAAAAAAGAGAAGTAGGGACCTGGGATTCAATCGTCCTTGAATTAACTTGCTCCATGAAATATGTGTGACTTAGGGACTGTATGCTGCTGGGATGCCTGAACAGTGGTACCAGTTTTGTGTCTGGCTTCGCAATTTTTTCCGTCCTGGGCTTCATGGCACACGAACAAGGGGTGGACATTGCAGATGTGGCCGAGTCAGGTATGGTGGTTTCGGTGGCAGTGATGGTGGGCACTGCCACCTAGTGTGTGAGCCGACTTCTGCAGGCATTTAGCCAGGAAGGGGGCATTGGGGGGGAAAGGAAAAAAAATTGAGGCTTTCATAATGAACCCCAGAAACTTCCCCTAAGTACCAGAGACTCCTGCTTCAAAATGCACAACATCTGGATAGCCGTTTGATTGATGCGGGGGCAGAAGAGGAAGGATGGTTTCCTCTCCTCAACTGGGGAATTGGGGTCAGCTCTCGATCAGGTCAACTAGAGGCCACCCAGCTGCCCACTGGGCCTTAAAGCAAATCCATTTGGAAATTCAAAATCGGCTGCCGGTTCTGCAATTTGATCACAACTTTCTCAGCCTTGGTTTCTGTATTTTGCACTTTGCTCTCGGCGTTTTAGCTGTGAAAATCAGACCTTCTTGGGGTCACTGTCTGTCTTTGAGCTGTCCCTTGTGAAGTTGGTATTATTGGTGACAAGTCCATTTTGAAACGGGTTGTGAGGAGAACGTCGTCTTCCCTGGGCAGGTAGAATTTATCTTCAGGAAGGTTGTCAGGTAGCCCAGAGGGGGCCCATCTCTCTGATTGCTTCTCAGCATCCATCCACCCTAGGAAACTTAATCTGCTTTTTGCAACTGCCGCCTTCCTGAAGGCTGTCTGAGGTTGAAGAGGTAGATAGATAGGGAAGGCCCTGTTGAGGAACATTCTGGTCAAGAGACAGGTGGTTTCAAAGTGTGGTCAAGCTAGTACTGTTGTTTGTCTCTCTCTCAGGGGCAGTAATTGGCAATGGGGTTGGTCGCAACTCCAGAGGAGTGGGGGTGTGCACATAGGAGCAATTCAGACTGCCATATTGCCTCACTCAACTTCTCCTTGATCATTTTCTCCTCATTCCTTCATTAGCAATAGGAGCTGTAGCTCCATGATGGATATGCATGCATTTTGTAAAATCATAGGGTACCAGAAAGGTCCTTGGACACAATATAGTCCAACCTCCTCATTGCACAGAGATATGTTTGAATCTAGTAAATGGGAGAGACAGGACTCCTTACTTCCAATTTCACATTCTTTCTATTATCCCACATAGCCTCTCAATGTCATTTCATATAGAAGTAATTTGAAGTCATTAATTCCCCATTCTGAATACTCGGGGATGGTTAAGTCTTCCCTGATGGAAAGCTCCCCATATTCTTCTTCTTTCACCAACTTCTCCACCGCTCCCCCTCAGATAGACACATACTCCACCTTCACAGTGCAGCACTCTACTCTCAGTAGAGGCTCTCTCGGATACACCCCTCTCTCCAAAGATGTGTCTGAGGATGTCTAAGATGCTAACTATTCCAAATGCTCCTCTGGTCTCTCAAAAAATTTCTGTAATTCCTTCTATCTAATTCCCCTATCGACTGCTCCAGTCTGAGGTTCCAAACCACATTTACCGTTATAGGAGGAAGCCATTTTCTCATTGACCCTCCTTGGTGTTTTCTTGGTAAATCAAAGGCAACTCCATAGTTCTCAAATGAGGCTCCTGGTGATGAGGCAAGTATCTGTCTTCTCTAAAGCTGACTTTCATTTGCCATTTGGTCCAGGCAACACTGTCTGTTCCTTACCCAGCAAACTCTAGTTTAAAACAATAATAGTAATGCACCATAAGTCGAGAATATTTTCCAATTCATTTTCCTCTTTGGTGTTGCTGAGACTCTCCAAGTTAGGCCAAGAGCACGTGACTGTTTAGCTACATCCACAGAACCTGTGCCGTGTCTATCTGGATTTGTGGGCAAGAGAGACGGATAGAGTCTGTATACTGAGGAATCAGGCAGAGGCATCTTTCTTTTACAAGAGGATTTGCAAATGGCATTGCATTAATTAGGGGTAACTATCATCTTAGAGAACATGGAAAAGGTTCGGGTAGTGGTATGGATGTGTGTGTGTTTAAGCATAAATATGCATATAGGTAGATGTGTGAGCATATGTGTGTATTGTGAAGACATTGAGGCATTCCAAGACTTCCGAAGCTCTTTGAGATCTCCAGCACGAGTAGATCCTTCATGGCATAACAGATATTATTGTGAATTTTTTGGCCAAAAGGATTCATCAGCTGGTCACCAGTTTTCTGTGGTGATGGGCCTCTCCATCCTCAGATAGGCTTGGCTCGTCTTCTGGTTATAGGTACAAAGCCCCATCGCTGGGTCTGTGCTTCCTAGCTTGGGAGTTACAAGAGCTTAGCTTTCTAAAACCCTTGGTTTCCTTCCATGGCAAGATGAGACACCGGCATAGAGTGGAGGGATGTATCGGTGCCGTGTCAGCCCGAGCACCTCCTGTCCTTAGCCAAAGACTTCCAGCTATGGCTTTATCATTTATTCCCCTCGGTGATTTATGAAGTGCCAACAAATGGAGTCTGATTATTTCTCTAATAAGCTTTTAACAAGCTCCGTATTGGGCCTAGCGCCTTGGAACGAGATAATTATTGAGCTGAACGGAATTCAAATGAAATGTAGCACGGAGAGATTTATGCTCGTCACAGTCTGCCGAGGTACCAGAAGGGGGCTGGGTTCCTTCACATGGACTTCTCTCTTGATAATGCAGTGGTGGCTTCTAGAGACAAGCAACTACTCAGAAAAACTGCAAAACGGAAATACAGAAACAGTTGAGTTGATGATGTGCAGAGTTTGGGGGAGGGAGGGGGCACATGTTTTGCATCTGTCTCATAATTGGCTTGAATTGATTACACGCGTGCCATTTAATGACCACAGCCTGAATGGAAATTTAGATTTCTACTGAGGTAAGAGGCATTCCATGAAGGCACAGATTCCTAGAATCCAAACATGCTGGGGGGCTGGGAGGGAGCTCCAAGACCATCTAATGCAACCAGCTCCTTTGACATAGGAGGAAACTAAAGCCAGAGAGGAGAAGGAACCAGGTCACACTGGCCTCGGAAAGAACTAAGACCTGAACCCAGACCACGGTGTGCTTTCCCCATCCGACACTGCCTCTTAATCCTCAAAATGGTCAGATCGTTATATGATGTGCATTTGAAGATGGAGGCCTTGTTTCTTTTAATCTGTATTAAGTGCCCAGTTTGGCAAGGTGTCATGGTGTTATGGAAAGAGGGTTGGTTCTGGAGTCAGAAAGAGAGGCGAGTTTGAATTCTACCTCTCCTACATTTTCATAAGCTGAATGGACTTCTCTGAGCCTCAGTTTCCTCATCCCTAAAATGGGCATAAGAACACCTACAGAACTTACCTCACAGGGTTGTTGTGAGGATCGCTTCACTCTAGGCAACATATCAAGTGCTTTTTAAACTCCAAAGTGCTCTAGAAATCCCAGTTATGGTGACTGTTCCTATTACCTTTTATTGATTTTTCCAGGTGATGTAATCACATCCAATCCTCAAAGGGCTTAATTCATACGATCACTTCCCTTTCTCCTGATTGAAATTCTATGGGATTGAAGTGCCACAGAGCCCAATTATCAATTATTCTCTCCTCTGCCTCATTCAGACCAGCTGCTCTCTAAATGAAAGGGGATGATTTATTTTCCCTTTATTAAGACAGAATCATAGGAAGGTGCCACGGTGAGGGAGCTGAAAAGTCATCTGGTTCATTTTTATGGAAGGAGAAGTGACTTGTCCAAGGTGACACAACTAGAGAGTAGTCTAGCCCAGACTAGGATCCATCCATCACCGTATCATAGATTTAAGCCCAGAAGAGCCTTAGAAGCCATCTGGCCCAGTCCCCTCATTTTATTCTTGAGAAAACTGAGGACTAGATACGTTAAATGCCCACATTCACATAGACAATAAGTCCCACCCATCTGATGGTGCAACTCAAACCCATGTCCTCTGAGCTAACTTATGCTTTCCACTGTACCACACTGACTCTCAGCTCAGCTAGTGCTCTCTCCACTCTATCACCCCACCCCTGAGTATGTCCCATGCTCTAATAATGCCACCCCACCCCCACCCCTTCCTTCCCATCCAGAGGTTTTTTGCCTCCCTAAGTCTCCTTCCTTAGGAACAATGTCTTTATTCCCCTAGGAAGCTGTGCTTTCTCTTTCCAAAGGAGTCACATTTTTCTAACATTGTATAGCCTCTCAGTCTCTGTCTTTTCCATTCTTACTCATCTGGTTGTTGATTTTCCAAAACTTTGCTTTTTTTTCCCCCTTTCATTTTATTCTCCAAATGTCTTGGATCATCAGATTTTCTCCATGTCTCCCTAAATTTTTTTTCTTGTCAGTTTTGCAACTCTGTTTCTCTTCTTTTTTGATCTGACCATCCCCTTCCACTCATTCCTCTTTCTTTGTTCCTTTTTCTCCCTCCCTCTTTATCTTCCCTACCTTCCACACACTCTCCTGGCTCTCAATCAGCTGCGCCGCTGGGCATCTGCCTTCCTTCCTCTAGCTGATCTAAGTCCATGGAAATAAGAGAAGTAAATCCACATTTCCCCAGATTTCTCATCCTTTTTTGTCCCTTAGCCGAGAAAATGCAGGGAGTTCCAAAAGTCTTTTAAACTTTAATAGCTTAAAAGTACCCTAAGACTTTGGGGATGCTCTCTATTCAAACAGTCCCCCTCTCCTAAATAAGAAAAGCTTATTGTATTTGCAAATGTTCCCTTCTCCTTCCCAGTCGAAAATCCTTAGTCAGAGACATGGCACCAATTATCACCTCCATCCCCCTCTTCCATCAAGCTAGGGAGAGAGTGACCTTCCTAACCGTCTCATTTCACTTTCTGGTGATCTCTGTTTTATTGCTGAGCAGAGCTCTGTGCTTCACCATTTGGCCCAGAGCCTAGAGTCCGAGATTCAGGCTGAGGACAGGCAGATGTGGGTGTGGCAGAGGAGACTGAAGAGAGAAACATCCGGTCACATCTGTTAGGATGTGCTAGTCCTTTGCCCAGAGGGCTCAGTGGTCTGTCTTTCTGCTCTGGTGGAGAGAGTGTGTGCGTGTGTGTATGCTGAAACCTGTAAATGATCTCTGACCCAACAAGCAGAGGGCAGAAACAATGAGACTTCTTACCCACTAAACAAGAGCTTGAATTATCCAGAGAATGCTTTTGTATCATTGTTTCCCTCTGAATATTGGGAAGTGCCCACACAAGATCATTTCCAGATTTTCCCCCCTCCTGAAAAAATGAAAACCAAGAAACTGCATTTGTTAAACAGCTTGGTTCGTCCCAGTAAAAGGAAGAACCTGCTTTGCAAAGGATCTGGGAGTCAGCCTTAGATTTCTCCTTTTCTCCCTGAAAGCCACGTTGCCCCGCGGCTCAGGTTCATTTTCTCCGTCCCAGCTTATACCTTGGAGTGATGAGCTCTACTCCCTTGAGTCTCATGGGGGTCTGTTGGAGACAGATGCTAAAACTGGCCCCAACTGGTTCCAAATTGAACTTATGCTGTCTGTGGCTAGGGCTTGCCTGACCTCTCCCTTAGGGAAGGTCCCCTGTCCTTCCCCTTGCTTGGGGTTGGGAGTGGCTGAACGAAACCAAATTATTTCTGCCTTCCAGTAGGAGTCTTGGTTTTTCGAAAGGCTTGGTTACTGACTACTTTCCTCTCCTCTGCCCCCTTCCCATTCTCTCTTTTCCACTCCTTTAGGTCCAGGCTTGGCCTTCATTGCTTACCCAAAAGCTGTGTCATTGATGCCACTACCCACGTTTTGGGCCATTCTTTTTTTTATTATGCTTCTGTTGCTTGGACTGGATAGCCAGGTCAGTAACAACGGCAGAGGGTGGGTTCTCTGCTTCTGATGGGAGGTGGGAATGTTCTTACTTTGGGTTCTATTCATTACTGTCTTCCCTCCTCAGCTGTGCAACTTTGGCCATCTGGTAGGCAACCAGGAACCTAAAAAGATCCTGACCTAGGGAAATCATTGTCACAAAGACTACGCATTCTGTTTAGAGGTCAAGCCATCCTCAAGTCCTCGGTCAAGGATTTGTATACAAAAGATTAGCAGAGCTTAAAGAAGAAGGCTGTACACATATCAGTCTGGGGTATGGACAAATGGCCTTGCAGACTTTGAAAGGCCTGAGGGGTATCATTGTATTATAGCATAAGTCCCTATCTGCTATAACAAGAAGGTTATGGATATCTATTATGAAAACACCAAACCCATCATCAAGAAAAGATGAAATGGTATTCAACTAAGTATCTACTAAGGTAGATAGTAGACATCAAAAGTAATTTAAATGAACATGCTTTTAGTGTTGAAAGAGGAGGCTAGAACAGTTATTTAACTGTAACACATATAGTGCCAGATAAATAAAGAATCCCCATGTAATCATATTTGCTGTCTATGAATATTTGTCTCAGAGGCTCATATCATTTTATGAGTGAAACATCTTCTAGTAGGAGATGGTGTGGCACGTGGTCAGTACTGGGAAATAAGGGACATTGCTGTGATGGTATCCTTAAGCTTCTCTTTGAGTGTACCTCCTCTCTCATGCCCCTCCCCCTTTCCCAGGCATCCAAAACCCAAGATTACCTTACTGTGCCTCTTTTTAGGGAACACGGCTCTCCTAGACATCACCCGTGCTCTTGAGCTTCCCTGAACTCTTTCCCTGATGCCCCAGTGAAAATTTAATTGTCCTTTGCCTCAAAATAACAAAATGTCACCTGTGGCTAGCCTCACAGGCTAATAACCAATCTCTTCTGAGATGTTAGCAATACATCACCCTGTCTAGGTAACAAACTCAAGGTCTTCTGGATGCAAAGGAGCAACCTCTTTGAAGAGTTAGTATTCCAGGCATCATAACAGGGTAATTAAGTGGCACAGTGGATAGAGCACCTGGCCTGGAGTCAGGAAGACTCATATTTCTGAGTTCAAATCTGGTTTTAATTACTAGTTGTGTGACCTTGGGCAAATCACTTAACTATTTGCCTAAGTTTCCTCATCTGTAAAATGAGCTGGAGAAGGAAATAGCAAATCACCCCAGTATCTCTGCCAAGAAAATCCCAAATAGGATCATGAAGAGTTGGACATGACTGAAAATGACTGAACAATAGTGATTCCAAGTACCACAACAGACTAATGTGGGAAGTGGTGTATGCTAGGAGGATTCATCACTACCCTCAGAATCACTATGTAGATAACCACCTATGCATAATCAGGCCTTAGAAGACAAGCAAGTGTCATATATCCATAGTGCATTAAAGAGTAGAGAGATGTGTGCCTTAGGTATGTGGCTAAGATCTCACAGGAAACTGTACTAGATTCTTTAAGAAATTAAATAATGAAAATAAAGATGGAAAGAGCTGCTGGACTAGACCAAGTTTATCCAGAGAAGGTTCTAAAGGAACAGTATTTTTGTGGCCATTGAATGATGATTCTCCAGGTAACTGAAAGAGGTGGATTTTCTTACTACCCCCAAAAAGCAATTATTAATAGAATATTAAGTCTATTCTCTCATCTCTGCAAAATCTTTGTGAGGATAATCTACAATGAATGCATCTTAAGCTTGGCCAAACTTTTGTAGATGAAATTCTATAGGGTACTATTTCTTTAGTTCAGTTGACAAGGTTCAGAGAACGTGAGATCCCACTTTGCTTATTAATTGTTGACTATAAAAAAGCATTTGATTTGTTGAAGCAAAATATCACATTTAAAGGATCTCCCATGGATTATTAAAAATTATTCCAGATCTCTTGGGAAGATGCAATAATAGAGATCACTTTATTAATCAATTTTCATATCATTAACACTTAGGTTAGGTTTAATATGGAGACATGTTTGCCAAAGATGTTTATCATCATTATGGAAGTTTTCCAGCCAGACTCCAAATGGAAAAAAGAATTCCCAAAAGATAGTAAAAATGTTGAGATAATCTCATTTGTAGAGGGTCTTGTGATGATTGATTACATCAACTCCTAGAATACTGAAGAACCTTCTAATTGAGATCCATAATCACTCAAAAAAATTTAGCCTAATTCTCCATGGAAGAAAAATCCATTGGCTGAAGAATGACTCCTGGCCAGACTATGGCATACATTTGGATGGCTATAATTACAGAGTTAATGCATTGGTACATATATCTTGGATAGACTATGCAGATGGAAAATGAACTGGATGAAGAACTGAGTAGGAGGATGAGTAGGAAACTACATAGAGCTTTTAGTAACAGCTTCTTTCAGAAAATAAGACCTATCTTTTTTTAACAATGAGATTCTTCCTGTGACCTGCATCCAAATCCAACCTCAGGCACTTCTCTAGCGGTCACTTAACCTTTCTCTGCCTCAGTTTGTTGTTGTTTTTCAGTTGTTTCAGTTGTGTCTGATGCTTCATGACCCCATTTGGGGTTTTCTTGGCAAAGCTACTGGAGTGGTTTGCCATTTCCTTCTCCAACTCATTTTACAGATGAGGAAACTGAGGCAGAGAAGGTTAAGTAACTTGTCCAGGGTCACCCAGCTAGTAAGTGCCTGAGGCCAGATTTGAACTCATGAAGATGAGTCTTCCTAGCGCTAGGCCTGGTGCTCTATTTACTATGGCACCACCTAGCTGCCCTGTAACTGAAACCTAGAGAACCTAAAAGATTTGCTGAAGTCACACAGTAGGAGCTTACAAAGAGGTTATAGGCAAAGGGAAAGTCATGTAGAAAAGGCCAGTGTGTAGTTGCAGATCAGTGTAGTAGGATCTCGTCAAGCATCAGGACAACAGATGGAGATTTGGGAGCTAAGAAATGACCCTCATGGTTAGGAGGATGAGTGAGCCCTGGAGGGAGGGGATGAGAGGCAGGAGATCAGAGATTCAAGAACCATGTTTGAGAGGAAGACTCACAGACAAAGACTGGGAGAAAGAAGAGGAGTCAGTTAAAGAAAGAGAGTACTAGCTGGGGAAATTGGAGAAACAAGAAAATCCAGCTTTGCAGAATCGGAGGCAGGAGAGAATGAGTAGTGAGTAAGCAGGAGGTGGTGGCAAAGCACTTTTCAGACTTAGAGAGGTCTTAAAGGGATGAGGAAGTGGGGTGGAGAAACAGCCATGGGTTTGGCCAGAAGGGAGAACTGTGTTAGTACAGAAGACAAAACCCGTTCGTGGAACTCTGCAGAGGGAAACACCCCGGCTCCAGGTAGATTAGGCTGTCACAGATCCTAAGCCATATTTGACACCAGTGTTATGATATACAATTTTCTTCCAACAATAGTTGGCGTGTGCTTCTGAGAATCCAAATTTTTCCATTTTGAATTCTTACCATCACGCTGGACGTTTGCAAATGTTTGTGGGAGCCTTCCTTTATGATTAAACCTTCTGAGGCACTTTTCCAACTAATTTAGGGAATCCTGGAATCTAATAAGAGCCATAGGGGGTATTGGAAGATAGAGTCATTAAAATCTGAAGGGGCCGTGGAGTGCTGAATGGGGGGCTTGAAGGAGCTCAGGTTGCAGACTGTCTGGAGCTGGAAGGAACTTCAGAACACAATGTTAGAACAATAGAGTTGGAAGGGGCTTTTGTTATTATTCAGTCATTTCAGTTGTGTTCAACTCTTTGTGACCCCATTTGGGGTTTTCTTGCGAAGATACTGGAATGGTTTTGCCATTTCCTTCTCCAGTTCATTTGACAGATGATGAAACTGAGGCAAAGAGGATTAAGTGACTTGCCCAGGGTCACCCAGCTATTAAGTGTCTGAGGTCAGATTTGAATTCAGGTCTTTTTGACTCCAAGCCAGTCACTCTGTTCACTACCTCGATGCCTGGAAAGGGCTTTAGATCCTAGAATGTCAGAGCTGAAAGAGACCCAAAGATACCGAACTGTTCTTGACCTACTCACTGTCTACTACCTATGTAATGCTGGATAATCCATTTAGCAATACCACAATTCAATTAAGCTCTTTGGGCCTCAGTTTTCTCATCTACAAAATGGTAAAACATAATATTTAGCCTGTCTGCTATGTTCATGTGTGATGTCAGTCCCATCGGTATTCATCTGAAAGCTCCATAAAGGGAACTTTAAGCTTTTTCTAAATTGAATTCTGAAAAGCCCAGGCTGGCCCTTTACAGCCAACCCCTTATGTAAAAAGGAAGGCCTTCACTAACATGGAAATGGCTCCTCCTTGGAGAAGTCGATTTTCATTAATTGGTGTTCCCTGCATCTTTGGAGTTGGGTCAAGCATGACCAGGAGCTAAGACCAAACAAGCTCCAGGAGAGTGTTAACACGCAGGTTTAAAAATGAAAAAACACCCATTAAAAATCAATGTACCCTAGGCATTTTTTTAAGGGTGCCAGAAGATTTAGGAGAATTACCGACGTCAAACAAAGTAAACATCTTCCTGTGTGCTACCCAGGGCTTTGCAGGGAGCATTTGCCTCATCAACTTGGGCTAGCTTTGTTAGGCCTAGGGAACACACGAGCTCCAAAGTGACATTTAAAACCAATTTAGGGAAATGGAGGGAGGGATCTTAGAACTTAGAGTATTCAAGTTGGAGGTTACCTTAGAATGAAATATGTTAGAGCTGAAAAGGATCTGGGAACATGGAATGTTAGAGCCGGGAGGGACCTCAGAGCAGAGGCAAAAGAGAATGTTGGAACTGAAAGAGGTTCCCTTCTTTTCTAGATAAGGGGACTGTCACCCAGGCACAGGGCAAGTGCGAGAGAAAGTTGATGGCAAAGCGAGCACTAGATCCCTGTCTCCTTATTCCCTAAGAATTTAAACATTGAAGTTTTTATGCATTGCCATTGACTCAGCTAATCCACCAACTCTTCAGTTTTGAAGGCATCTGTTAGCTTAGCCATAAATGGATTATTGTGATTTCTTCTTCCCGTGAACCTGAAGAACTCTTGCCTACCTCAGTTTTCCACTAAACCTTTGTCAGATCCAAGTTCCCTTTGCAGACTATGATCACTCCTATTCAAATATAAACATGCATATAGCTCCTACTGCATGCCAGGCACTTTGTAAATATTATTTCACTGGATCCTCAAAACAAGCCTATGAGGTAGGGGCTGTATCTCTATTTCACAGTTGAGGAAACTGAGTGTTAGTGACTTGCCCAGGGTCACACAGTCAGTAAGTGCCTGAGGTTGGCTTTGAACTCAGATGTTCCTCACTCCAAATCCAGTACTCTTTCCACTGAGCCACCCAGATGCGTAGCTGTGAAAGGGCTCTCACTGTAGTAAACCCTGCCTGTGAGGAATCAAATTCTAAGAAATGAGAGAAAGGTAAAAGAAATAAGTTTTATCTTCATGACTTGTCAGACCAAAGAGCAGAAATATTGCCTTCCCCCCCTCCCCCACCCCTTCCATACACACCGTATGGTTTGGTGGAGTTCATACTATCTGTTGTTTAAGAGAGACAGGCTGTGCCACATGGTGGAAAATCTTTGATTGGGAGTCAGGGAACCTGGGTTCCAATCCTGCCTTTGCCCCTCTCTGTCATTGTAATCTTAAGTAAGTCCCTTAAACCTCTCTGGGTCTCAGTTGCCACCATGGTAAAATATGTTGTTTGATGAGGTAGATAGAAGTCCTAGACTTGGAATTAGGAAGACCTGGGTTCGAATCCCACTTCAGACATATACTAGCTGTATGACCCTGAACAAGTCACTTTGCTTCCTTTTGCCTCGATTCCTTATCTATAAAATGGGGGAGGGAGGGTTATACTAGATGACTTCTGAGGTCCCTTCCAGTTTTAAATCTATGATACTATAATCCTTTCAAGCTTCAAGGCAACGTAGGGAAATTTTCCTTGGGGTTTTAATACTCACTGAAATCACAACTTCCTTTACCTTGTCCTTAATATCCCCTTATTGAGAAGGGCACAAATCCTTGTTGATCAGCATAACTATGGAAGCATTATATGTCAAAGCTGGAAGGGACCTGAGAAAGCATTTGGCCCAACTCTCCCTTTAGGGTGGTTAAAGCTGAAGCCCAGAGCAGGGATGTGGTCTGCTCAAAGTCACAGAGCTGACTAGCCAACAGGGCAGGCGCAGAGAGGACAATGACTTTCAAATCCTAGATAAGTGTGGCTTTTTTTTCCTAGTCATTCAGATGTGACAGAGACAGAGACAGAGAGACAGAAAGGGAGAGAGTGGGGAGAAAGAGAGAGAGAGGAGAGGGAGAGAGAAAGAGACAGAGAGAGAGAGAACACACTACTTTCATCCCATAAATAACCTTTAGATGATAATATTTCTGTATTTCTGGCATGGGATTTCTTAGTTATCTGAAACTTGCACGACATGAAATCATTTTTCTCTTACGTGGAAAAACAGGTCCCAAATTAAATAGGGTATGTTTAGACTTGGAATTTTCCAGCTTTAAAAGGAATGGATTGCAATTAAGTGATAGATAGACTAGATTCATAGAAAAATCAGGCCTGGAAGGGACCTTAGAGATGTTTCAATTCAACCCTCTCTGCCTCCCTTTCCCGCCTTCCTCTCATATTCCTCCCTGGTCACCACCTTTCATATTTATTGAATGTCTTTACTGAGGGTAGGGACTTTCTTACTGGCTTATATTTGTGCACCTAACTTTAGCACATTTTCTGATACATAGTAAATATTTAACTTAATAATTTAATAAATGCTGTTTCATCCATCCATCCATCCATCCCCTTTCCCTATTTTATAGAGGAGGTAGAAATAGTGGAGTAATTTGCCCAAGGTCACCGGGCAAATCTTTGGCAGAGCTGGATTAGAGCCTAGGGATCTGATCCTTGTAGTCCAATCCAGTCTCTTTCCACTACACTGGGTATTGGAGTGGACTTGGAGAGAGGGGAGAGTGTGTATTAAAATTATGTTGAAGGACATCATTGAGGGAAAGCTGAAACTCAGTCCAATGTATTTTTGTCATTTTTCTCTTCCTTCTAGTTTGTTGAAGTTGAAGGACTGATCACATCATTGGTTGATCTGTACCCATCCTTCCTAAGGAAGGGTTACCGACGGGAAATCTTCATTGCTATAGTGTGTATCCTTAGCTACTTTCTGGGCCTTACTATGGTGACCGAAGTAAGTATTCCTGGATACACACTACTCCGTTGTTTCTTTCAGTCCTTGGTGGATGGATACGCATTCTATTTCTGTTAATATCAAAAGCTGTTTAGTTCATGTAGTCTGGTATTAAAGCCTTGTCTCCTTGGAGGTGGGAAACTGGCCAGCTGGATAACTACTGTCGGTCCTTGAGAGCCAAGTGAGATAATGAACAAAAAGCACTATATAACAGCACGCTACAAGCTGCTTTTACAATTGGCTGAAATGACCCAACATCCCTAGTACTGAGTCCTCTAGTTAGATTTTTCTTCTCTTTCTAACCCCAAATACTAGTCAAATTTTCAAAAAAAAAAAGTGTTTGGTTTCTATTTGAATTGGGGCTACATGGCAAAGAGAAATACATCCTATGGATAGATTTTTGTAATGTGATTGAAAATTTCTTTGATCAAAACATGGGCTGCCAAAACTTATTTAAAAAATCAAAGTTGAAATAATTCTTTGGGTCTGGTATTGATGGCTTACATCAATTATAAATATCTTACTTAGGATTAAAGCCTGTGGGGTCCATAAAAGGCCTGCAAAGTGTCATTTTTCACCATATTAGGCCATTGTACCTAGTCAGCTGCATGATGAAGCCTTCTATCTCCTTTTGAAATTTAATTTTTAAATAATTTCCCCCAAAAAATATTGTGCTTAGAAGATTGCATTATTAAATATTCAATGGTTTGAATCCTCCCTTAAAGTGAAGGATGTAGTGTGTTACCAAGAGGGAAATTGAAATAGAGGCATCTGGGGCAGACTCTACTTTTGAGACACTATACTTTCCTAGAATGTTTATCTTAAAGTCATTGTATGCAAAGCCAAACTCCAATTGCAGATAATGGTGAAAGCGCCTGAATGAATGAATGCCTTTGCCTCTTTGAACAGTGGCAGAAGCCATTGAATGAATGACAATGTCGGAGAAATGATGTATAGATCCATATTATATAATGTCAAGTGAGTCTAGTGGTAAAGTAGGAAGTGAATTCATCTTTTATCCATCTGTCTGTCTAAACTTCTCACTTTTTCTATATTTCTGTATTTATCACTTTTTGTCTTCCTATTCTTCCTTTTTTTACTTTCCTTTTTTCCTCCCAATTACCTGTTTCTGCCAATTTATCTATCTGTTTTTTTAATTCACTTTTCATCTATTTCAAACTGCTTAGCAGCAATATTTTCAATAAAAGCAAAGACAGGAGAAATGAAAATATTCATGCTGAAGCAGAAGATCTCTGATTTTGGTTAACAGTTGGCTTCCTGCCTCTTGAATTTTCCTGCTTCAGAACCTTCATAAAGCAGCTTTAATTACATCGACAAATTACTTCAAATTGCACAGTGAACATTTTTTAAAATGGGGTAAGGGGTTATTTCTCCTGAGCTTCCTCTGAAAAGCACACATAATCTAAGCAGCATGATCTTGACTCTAGTTTATGTGTGAAGACTTTGGGGTGAGAATTGATTTTCAGTAGAGTAGTTTGACCTGAAGTTTCTGTTTTGGAAAGAAGAGTTGGTTTGGATATCATTTCGGCTTTTGTCATCACAAAGGTCCATTATTGTCTCTATAATCAGGCATTTGCTTCTATGGGAGGGGGTGGTGACATTGAACTACACCCTTTGTCCTTGGTGCCCAGAAAGTTCACTTGCTTTGTGATTTCTTCACAGGGTGGCATGTATGTGTTTCAACTCTTTGACTACTATGCAGCTAGCGGTGTATGCCTCTTGTGGGTTGCATTCTTTGAATGTATTGCTATTTCCTGGGTATTTGGTGAGTATAGAACCTTAACTGTTGTCTTAAATATACTTAAATGTTACTCCCCTAGTGGGCAGGCCAAGGGAAGAGGTTATTTCATGGTGTAATGAGAACCTTCAGAACTCAAGAATTCTACCTGGTTCCTGCTCACTATTGGCAAAAAAAAAAAAAAGTTTCAGGATGTCATAGGATTTTAGCTCATTGCTCTTGGATTCTGTGACTCTTAGCTATGCCAGGGATTGAAAGGCAACTTGGGGCAAAAGGCCCAAACCACTTTCTTACCATTCCTTGGTAGAAAGAAAGACTATATAAGAAACTACCAAGGCAAAGATTGATCGTCTTACGTGTGAAGGGATGAAAAGTTAGAACGTGGTATGAGCAGGTTATGAAGACTAACCCATGTAGCCACGTATTTATTCAAATGAGGTTGCCATATTCCATAAATGTTACTCCAGCTCCTCTGGGGAGAATGGTACTCATAGGGGCATAGACCTACCTCAGTTGCCTTCAAATCCCATGTATCCCTGCGTTAGACACAGGCTAATGCTTTGTGGCTGTTAATGTTCAGTCACATGCTTTCTTCTTCCTATAACTCATGAGTATAGTGGACTTTGCCTTAATAAACAAGAGGGAAGAAGCTAATGCCTTCTGGACTAAGGTTACTTTATTTGTTATTCAGTTATTTCAGCTGGGTTTGACTCTTTGTGACTCCATTTGGGCTTTTCTTGGCAGAGATACTACAGTGGTTTGCCATTTCCTTTTCCAGCTCGTTTGACAGATGAGGAAACCAAGGCAAACAAGGTTAAGTGATTTGCCCAGGGTTACACAGCTAATAAGGGCCTGAGGTCAAGTTTGAACTCAGGAAAAGGAGTCTTCCTGACTACAGGTCTGGAGCTATATCCACTGCACCTCCTAGCTGCCCTTTATTTACCTTGCTTTATTTACCACGAGCATTTCTCCACCATTAGAGTATAAGTTCTTTGAAGACAAGGCATGTTTTTGCCTTCTTTTGTATCCTCAGTATCTAGTCCATGTTAAGTGGCCTGTCACATGTTAAGTGCTGTTTAATAAATGCTTATTGATCGATTGACAATCTGTCTCTTCCAGGAGCTGATCGTCTTTATGATCGCATTGAGGAGATGATTGGATATAGACCCAGCCCCTGGATGAAATGGAGCTGGTGTGCCATCACACCAATTCTTTGCGTTGTAAGTTGAAAGCTTCCTAACCCACAGTACCCCTTTCTCCAAAGGTTTTGATGCATTGACTGAGGGCCTGATGGTAATCTTTAAGAAGTTTGTCTTGGAAACACCAATCTAGAAAACACACTGCTATAAGTTACAAGGTCCCCTCTGCCGTGTCTAAAAATGGCATTCAAGGGGCAGCTAGGTGGCTCAATGGATAGAGCACTGGCCCTGGGTTCAGGAGGACGTGAGTTTAAATCCAGTCTCAGACACATAACACTTACTAGCTGTGTGACCATGGGCAAGTCACTTAACCCCATTGCCTAACCAAATAAAAAACAAAAATAAAAATGACATTCAATAACAGCGCACATTTTTAGAGCAGTTGAAGGTTTGTAAAAAGTTTTGCATGGATTATTTCAGTTGATCCTCACAACCACTTTGTAGAGTAGATCTTGTTATTATCCCCATGCTTCATTTGAGAAAAACTGAGACAGACAGAGGTCAAATGCCTTGTCCATGGTCACAGAGCTAGTAAGTATCTGAGGCAGGATCTTAACTTGGGTCTGGGAGCTGGAAAAGGAAATGGCAAACCACTCCAGTATCTTTGCCAAGAAAACCCCATGGAGGGCAGCTATGGTCACAGTAGATAGAGCACCGGCCTTGGAGTCAGGAGGACCAGAGTTCAAATCTAACCTCAGATACTTACTACTAGCTCTGTGATCCTGGGCAAGTCACTTAACCACAATTTCGAAAGAAAGGAAGAAAGAAAAAAAGAAAGGAAGGAAGGAAGAAAGGAAGGAAAGAAGGAAGAAAGGAAGGAAAGAAGAAAGAAAGAAAAAGAGAAAAGAAAGAAAGAAAGAAAGATGGAAAGAAGGAAAAAAAGAAGAAAACCCCAAATGTGGTCACAAACAGTTGGATACAATTGAAACAACTGAACAATAGCTATTCTGACTCCAGGTCTAACTCTCTGCCCACTACAGCACCCAACTTCCCCTGGTTGTTTTTGAGCTGGCACTGGTTCAAGTAAACTTTGTACATGTACCGTAGCCCCCTTTTTCAATGGGATCAGGTGTAATACCTTCTCTTCACATCCTCACTTTGGGACATTGAAAGTGAGGCCCATAGAAAGAGAAGCAAGTTATCTTTGCCATTTATCTTGGATGGGCAAATTTGTATTCAGGTGCATGTCTCTCTGTCTGTCGCGTTTATGGACCTTTCTGCTTAGTGAACCGTGGAGTTCCTTCAGAGTCCCCAGCCAGTAGGGACTCATATCAAATATTGGCTTCATCTTAACACTGGAAACAAACAGTTGCCTTTGAAAATATTGGTAAGGGGAGCAAACATTTGCTTTCCAGTTCTCTGCTCATATTTGAAGAGCTGTTTGCTGAAATTTTTATTACATGTGGAAAAGGCAGCCAAAGAGATAAGATGTTGGAAGCTTAGCAGCCAGCTATTACATGTCCCCTCTGTGACTAGGTGTTCTCTAAAGACCAAGTCCACAACAAATAGTATGACTCTGTAAGGAGACCTTTGGGTACCAGTCAACCATTCACTTCCTGATGAATGCCCTTAGGGTTAGAGGTGAACCTTAGGCTCCAACATAGCCTCCAGTTACTATCTATGATCCAGCCAACCTGGCCTTTCTATTCCTTACGTATAACACTCTTTTATCTCCCATCTTCAGGGATTTTGCCCAACCTCTCCCCTAAGCCTAGAGTACACTCCTTCCTTACCCCTGCCTTTTACAATCCCTAGACAGCTAAGTGGTGCAGTGGGTAGAGTACTGAACTTAGAGTCAGGAAGACCCGAGCTTAAATTTTAGATATTTTCCAGTTCTGTGACCTAGGTCAAATCACTGAGCCTCAGTTTCCTCAACTCTAAAAAAGGGGAATAGTAGTAATGGTGCCTATTTCCCAAAGCTATTATGAAGATCAAAGGAGTTAGTATTTGTAAATCACTTAGCACAGTGCCTGGCATATAATAGGCACTTCGTAAATTCTTGCTTCCCCCTTACCTCTTCTGCCCTTTTACCCCTTTAGAATTTTTAGTTTATTAGGATCAAGAGATGATAGAGCTGGAATAGGACTGCAAAGGCTTTCTAGTTTCATCTAGAAACTTTCATCTCAGTTTACAGATGAGGTCACTGAGGCCCAAGGGGGGTGAATTAACTTTCCCAAGGTCACACAAGTAGTAAATGGCAAAGTGGATTTGAACCCAGGCCATCAAACTCCAGAGCGCATTTTTCCCCCATTTATACCTTCCAAACTATTCACATGCCATTTTCTCCATGAAGCCTGTTCTGATTCCCAAACCAGATGCTAGTGACAACCTCACCAAAACCACCTCATATTTACTTTAAGTGGATTTTATGTGTACCTAAAAATGTGCACTCTTCTCCAATAGAAAGTGACCTTAAATAGGTGATTGTTAAAGTTGTTTCTAGCTCTGGCTTGTCATATATTTAGAAACAAATTGATACTTAAATAGACCTTTTTAGTTCCCCCCTCCCCTTTTTGGGGAGGCTATCTGGTGAAGCTAGGGTCCCTTTCTCAGAGTAAAGTTTTAAATACACAAAGTCAAATACATAGGGTTGCCCAGGAAACTAATTATCTTGAAATAGTTACCAAGATATTTTCAAAAGCACCCAGATTCCAGGTCAAGAATTCTTGCCTTAAATGATCTTTGTATCATTGATGAGGGCCCTACCTATACCAAGGCTTCTTGCATTCCCCCTCCATGACTTCGTTGGAAGCTTTAAATCAATCAACAAACATTTATAATGTGACCACTAGATACTAGGCATTGTGCCAACCTAATTTCAAGAGTTGCTGTGGTCAAAAGAATTTGTGATTCCCTTGCTAGTTCACGAGCCTCAGAACTTAGCTACGTTCTTCCATGGGTAACAGAGGTACAGTCTGTCACTGGGCCCACACTTGAATCCTTTCTAATTGAATAGATTCTGGACGAACTTGTACCATACTGGAAGGGCTCTGAAGGAACCAAGATCATCTCCACGCTCAAACAAAGCATGGCAGGACTGAGACTCCACGAAAACTATAGGAAACAGTATTTGTTGTTCTAGAACGGTGGCGATTAACTCTGTGTCCATTCGATCTGAGACCCGTTCTGTAGAAGGGTCTCCAATGCTCTCCTTACTCAAGCCTTTGAGAAAGCAATCAGCACTACTGGTTTGGAGTGCTAAGAAAATCTCATGACTAGTTTTGATGGCTTGCAATGGTTCACTGATGCTCTTATCACTAAATTTTCGTTCATATTTTCTCCTGACAGGAATGGGGCTCAGAATCAGGAAGACAAGTTCAAGCCCCATCCCCGCTGTGTACTATCTGTGTAGTGTGGGACAAATCTTAACCTCTATCTCATTGCCCTCAGCCACACTCTATGATAAGCATTAGAGAAGGAGCCAAGAGGCACTAATAGAGGAATTTTCTTCACCTGAGGCATCCTAACACCATTGAAATCCCTGGTCTAGTTTTTAAAAATAGCTTTGTTTTGAAGCACCAGCAATAGTACTAGTCATTATTTCTTTCAGTTTTGGGCTTTACTATCCAAGTAGGGAGAGCTCAGAATTTGGGACATTAGATGAAATAATCATTACAAATATCACCTTCAGGCAACTCACTTTATCTGTCTCTGATTCAGTTTCCTTGGCTGTCAAATGAAGAGATGGGGCTTGATGGCTTCTGAGATCCTTTTGATAATAATAATAGCCAGCATTTTTCTAGTGCCTTACAATTTGCAAAGTGCTTTCCAAATATTATCTCATTTCATCCTCCCAACATCTCTGAGAGGTGCTTTATTATCCCCATTTTATAGATGAGAAAACTGAAAGAAACAGATTAAATGACTTGCCCAGGTTGACATAGCATGTAATTATGAGAAAGAATTTGAGCTCAGGTCTTTGTGACTCTGGATCTAGCCCTCTATGCACTGTGCCACCTAGCTGCCTATGATTCTAGGATTCTCTTTTTGAACATGATCAGACAAAGGTAGCAGAAATTAATTGAAATTCAATAGGATACTTGGTCAAATGGAGCACAAGTCTAATTAACTGGGACCTTGAATGTTTTCTGTCCTACTATTTGCTCATGGCCCTTTAAATCCTTCAGTAGTGGGGATGGATTGGCGTTGAGTCATCCACATTTCTCTCATTAGACCTCTGGTAGCCAGGAATACAGTGTTGTAGCTTTCTAGCCAAATCTACCATCTTGGCATGAGCCAAACACAACATATTCTGACCTTTGGAATGATTGAGATTCTATGTGTCTGGCTTAAAAGCTGTCCCTAGAGTCCTAATGAATCAGAATACTCATCCTATACTTTCTGCTCGGGAGCAGGACCTGGGAGGATCAGAGGTTGGTAAGGACTTTAGTGATTTTATCTATAAAATAAGAGAATGTATCCCTTCTAAATCTATTCATTATCTGTTGTTTTTATAAAATCTTCATTTCCCACTGTATCTTCCCCTCATCTCTAGTTATGAAATTTAAGAAGAGGAAGAAAAAAAAGAAAAAAGTTCAACGAAACTAAGTATTCTCTCACAAAAATAGTGTTCCCACCAATCCATACAAGTTCCAACATTGACTATTCCCATATTTTATCATCTTTGTTATTCTTTTGAACCTGATTTCAACTGAGGACTAGAGGGGAAATGGACCATAGGTTTACTTGGGATTTACTTTAGTCCCACCCACATTTCTCCCCAATCAGGAGCCATATCCTCAAGAGTCAGGAATTACCTTGGACCAAGCATCCTCTAAGAATAGTACTGAGTCCCATACCTAGCCTGGGACAACCTTGTGACGATCAAGGACTTGGGGCCCAAGGGGAACTTGTTTTTTAAAATATTTTGGTATCTATTTCAGTATAATTGGTTTTCTTGCAAAATCATCTGTATTGTATTTTATGTATTTGAAAATATGATTCTGAGAAGTCCATAGGTTTCACCAGACTGCCAGTGGGGGCCATGATACAAAGAAGGTTAAGAACCCTGGACTTAAGGGATGGTCTTGGTGACCATAGTCACCTAGAGATACCGTTTCTAGAACTCACCTCCATAATGCTTTTACTCTTCATAGGGATGCTTCATCTTCTCTCTGGTTGAACATACACCACTGACCTACAACAAGGGGTATGTCTACCCCAAATGGGCCATTGGCCTAGGCTGGTGCTTGGCCCTCTCTTCCATGTTATGCATCCCCTTAATGGTGATTATTCGGATTGCCCAGTCAAGTGGATCACTCATTGAGGTAAGAGCTCTGGGGGGAATGGGAGGGCCTCCATTTTTGAAGCAAAGAGTCGTCCCCACAACACCATACACCAAATCCTACAAATGGACCCCATAATCCTGGGTGACAGGTTCTGCTCCATGCCCAATGGGAAAATTAGAGGTTGAAAGGAAGAGTTATTTGAGGGAAGAGAACATTGGACCAAGAGACCTTGGTTCTAGCCTTAGCTTTGCTTTTAACTTACTGTATGATCCTGTAGTCCTCCAGATCTAAAGGACCAAGTTATTGTGAGTCTGCAATAAAATAATAGCAGCCCTTTCTTTCTTGTTATTCTTGTTCTTTCTAATTCCCACTTGACCCAGTGAGAGGAAGCTCTAGGCTTTTTAGCCATGCCAGCATCAGGCTGTGCATTCCCTGCCCTTTTTGATTTCCCTGGCATCCCCTTTGTTTCTTACCTTCCTCAAGAGGCTTCTTAACAATCATTGGGACTCCACTGTCTGGTTAAAGTGGGACCCCTGTTACAAACAAAATGAAACATGTCTTTTCTTAAAATTCTCCCTAACACTTAGGCTTGGTCAATTTCCAAGGTCTTGGGGTTTATTCTCCTCTGTTGCTTTAGGCAGAGCTGGGACATATACTTTGGCTCAGGCTCTCCAGTCCCTCTTGTGATATCTCTTTCATCAGAGTTTGGAAAGCAACTTACAGTAGCAGTTTTCTTGTGCTGGACAGTGGCATGGGGCATGGACCATGGGGTTTGGAACATGGGGGCATGAAGCCAGTAGGCTAGGGATTGGCTTTGAGACAAAGCATGGAGCAATTTGTCATCTGCCAGCCAAGTGGCTGCTCTTTAAATCCAAAGGAGGAGAGAGGGAGAAGTGAGAAGGGAAAGTGTGAACTGGAGAAAGATAAGAGACCAGTTTACAGTTTATACTCCTTTGAATAGCTGTGAGAAATTTTGTTTGGCTCAGCTGTTTTAGGATTCAGTGAACTCTCCAGCTCACTCCCTCATACTCACTAGTGATATAACCTTGGACAAGTCATTTCCTTTTCTGTGTCTCAGTTTTTCCTTCTGTAAAATGGAAATGATAGGACTGTTACAATATACCTTAAAGTGGGTTGGTTGTGAGGACTGCATCTTGTTAATCTTAAGGTGTTTTAGAAATGTAAGTTATTATTATTCCTAAGAATTTAAAATAATTCTTAAGATCATAGGTTTAGAGCTGGAAGGGTCTTTAAAGATTTTCCAGTCCAATCCCTTCATTCTCCTGAGGGAGAAAATGAGACTCAGATGACATGATTTACCCGTGTCATATGGGTAGTAAGCGGTACATTTGGAAGCTAAACCCAGATCTTCTTAATCAAATCTAATCATTTTGCTGCTGTTTTGGCCCTGATAGAATCTCTGGGAAAGCACACTGTGCTGGATTTGCAAACATCTTCCAACACTGACTTAGGTGATTCTATGAGCATTTGAGTTTTTCTGGCTACCTCACCTATAGATCCAATAAGCTGGATCTGGGTGGTAAGGGGCCTTGAAAGCCAGGCAAAGGATGCTGAACTTTATTGTCTAGGGAATTAGTGGTCACTGAAGGTTTCTTAGAAGGACTGGAAGGGAGGCCTGGTAGACATGGAGCCTCCATGGTTGCCATGACTTAGTCAAGTTGAGGGTAAGGGGAGCCCTGCAAACAAGGACCTCACTAGGTGTTGTTCCCTTTTCTGATACATCTGCCTTTATATTCATGTCTTTTTTCAGAGGATAAAGGCAGCAACAGTCCCTAAGCACGTGCGTCGGTGGAACCATGAGCCTGAGGGGTCCACACCATTCTGTTCCAGGGACAACTCAAATGGCAACCTCATGAAACCCACCCATATCATTGTGGAGACCATGATGTGAGCTCTCTCTGTGAGAGGAGAAACCTGCTTTAACTGCCGTTTACTAACCTTAGATTCTCATAGTACCAGGTTTACAGAGCTTTATATTTGCACTAGGATTGGATTTTTGTGTTTTGTTTTTTCCTTATTTGTTTTTTCATTCTCACAGAGAAAGTTATTTTTCATGTGTGTGCATGTGTGTGTTGTATTTTTTTTAAAGACTATTTTATAAGGTAACCACATGCAGACGTCTCCAAGGAGACTGAGCTTTCATATCAAATTAGATGTATTACAGGAATTTATTAATTTTTTATACCTAGCTATGATTATACACCTTTACCACTTGAATCGATCTTCTTGCCAGCAATATATTCAGTTTCTAAAGCAATCTCCAGGTGCTGGTGTGGATGGGTCATGCTCAAGAGCTCTAGGGTAAACTTTATCCCAAAGAGCAAAAAGAAACGCTGTTATGAACATTTCAAAGGTGTAGTACCTTCTGAGTGTGGTTCAGGGCAGAACAAAAAGGACAGGTGGAGAGGACCTGGGCAGCCCGCCATGTTGACCATTGTTGGCCAAGGCCACATTGGCCAGGGCCATGTCAGAAGGAGTCAAGGAGGCATTGGAAGTGAAGCCAATAAAAGGTTGGGTGTTGGAGCTTCATTATCCTTGTATTTGTAGCTGAGGAGAGAGTTGCACACACACATACATGAAATAAGACTGAGAGTGAAATAGGAGACCTCCAAACTCCACAAAACGATAAAAGACTTTCTAAGAGTAGTAAGAGCCCCTGTTTCAGGTAATTCTTTTTGAATAAAATCAAAAAAGAATCCTAATCTAGACATTTGGAAATTTCCGTTAATAAAAAATGTACCTTATAGTCTCAAATAATTGAATTGAATGCAGTGATCATGCTTTAAAATTAGAAACCATTAAAGATATTGTAGCCTCTAATATTTACTCATCAGTAGCAAAGATTTTCCCCTCATTTGAGTTTTATTTAGCAAGCCATTTTGCTAGATTGGCTCCTCCTTGCATCCCAATAGAATTAGACTCCCCAGCCTGGCTGGGCTAGGGATGAAGGATGACGAATTACAGGGGACCAGGACTCTTGGTGGGGTTTTGGTGGCAACTGTCAGGCTGACTCACTTATAATTTTTGGGCCATTCTAGAATTGCTCGTCCATATTCAGCCTTGACCTTCAAACAATTGGCTTTTTTCTAGTGTGTTCAGGTTTCAGGAAGCCCTAAGGAAGAAGAAGGGGTGACCTTTGCTGCATCTCTGGGAACCACCTTGCTTCCTGAAGGGTTTTGTCTCAGCTACAGGGTCCATATCTGCTTCCATACCATCATGTTTTTGTTGTTGTTGGTTTTTTAAAAAATTGTTTTTGCATTTTTTTAATGGAAACATACCTGGTTCTTGACATTCCTAAAAACTCATCAATCTCTAACCCACCATTACAGTGTGGCTTTCCTAAACCAAACCGTGCATATAATGAGTCACATGGATACAGGGATGAAGGAGAAAAGTGCAAGTGGACCAAAGGAAGTAGGACATGTGCATTTGGGACCCGCCTTGGGTTGGGGAGTTTTGAGAAGGACTTTGGGGATATGGCAGTCGCTAAAAACCAGTGGACTGTTATTCTTTCTAGCATTTCCCAGTCTTATCTCATCATTATCCTCTTTCCACCTCCAAGTATTTGTTTAAAAGATATGGAAATAGAAGCCTCCCAGCAGAGTCTGTAACTAAGTTTTCTTGGAGTTAGGAGGAGGGGAAGGCAGCTGCCCTATGGCCCAGCAATTAGTGAGACACTTCAGTGGCGTCATTTCCTGGCTATTTGGATTATCCAATGGACACCCACCCAAATCTAAAGCCATAGCCAAACAGGGAGATAGATAGCAGTGTGTTGCAACTCAGTTTTCTAAGCAACCAGTGCTAAAGGAACATGTTCTAAGAAGCAGCCTCCTGGTTTGCCCGTGCCCCTGGCCCTACCCAGTCTCAGAGAAAAGGGGGATTTCCATGTCATAGGGGTGACCACGGTCCATTTCACAGCTACAGGATAGGACTCGGGAACAGGCATCCAGCCTAAATTCTCATCCGAAAATGAAAGTCCTTGGCAGCCTTAGGTAGATGCTACAGTAGCAAAACGCTAATTTTTATGATGCTAGATGTGTTGTTTAGACATACACTACATAGCAAGAGACAGTAGATGGAAGGAAGTGGGAGAGGGGGAAAGGGAAGAACTGAGGGATGAGAGAATGAAAAAAAAAGTTGATGGATTAAGATTTTCAGTGGGGCCAATACCCCCAAGACAATATTTCCTCAGCCCCCTACAAGGTGAATAATTGTGTTCCACTGTGAACCAGAAGAGATGGTACTACACCTTTAAAATCACCACTAAGAAGACACCAGCCCCATTTCTAACTTGAACTGTGCCATTCAAATCAATTGCTTCCAAGTTCAGAGTATATTACCAAAAAAAAAAAAAAAGATTCTTAAGTGTCACACACATATGCAATGACCTCATTGTATGAAGTGCAGTGTATTGAAGTGAAGTGTTTTTGTTTTTGTTTCTGTTTTTCCTGGGATAAGGTACTCTGGCCCTGGTAGTAGAGTTCGGCCTGACTTAGACACAAGGCTGGATTCTCAGAAAGCAGGATCTCACTAAGAAAACCTGCCCTCCATCCCTGACTCCAGACATAGAAAGCTGTTTGGAGCATGTCCTGTTGGAGGGGTGCTCAAAGCAGGAGGGCAGTGCTTTTCAAATACTTTTATCTGTTCTAAATGTCACCCATTAAAAATTCACCGCCCCCCCCAAAAATGATATTCTGCCAAATGTAACTTATAATCCAAACTCTTTAACAATTCTACTATGTTTATATTTTTCTAGGTATTTATGATTGTAAATGTATCCCTCTTTCCCCACACCCTGGTTTCCTTTGTAGAAATGTGACCTATTTGTTGTATGGAACTTTAGTGAACTAACCATTCATCATGATTGGGGATGGGTGAATCATCTACAAAAGTTGCCCCTTCTGCTATCCTCTTTCACCTCCAAGCCAGAGCTGAACCTGGCAAGCTACTGCTTTTGATCGTCTTGGTCAGGAAGTAGAAACATGGAGTGAAAAATGGCAGTGTACTGAGCCCTTCCTAAATTCGCACATTCTGCCACTGGCTTGAGGAAGATCTTTCAAGATCCTCAGGTCAGCCATTTTTCTAGACCAAAGATTTCTAGACAAAACTCTCAGCCGGCAACAGGAAAGTTGGCTCCTTCAGCTGATAATATTTTCAGAAACATTGGTGTTTCACCCATCATCAAACATGACCTCTCTTATGACTATTCTGTCTGTATAGAATATGACTCCATGGGTAGTATGTGTAATAATGGTCAACTTTTATATATTCATTTATCTATATAAATCAAACTTTTAATTAGCATTTTGATGAGTCTAGTCCTACTCTGTCTAAGTACATGAGATGTAGGCCCTCTGGATAGCAAGGGGCCCAGATGCAGTTGAAACACCATTTTTTCATGGAACATAAGCCAAAGGAATGCACTGCCTTCACCATTTTTCCTCCCTAGGGAGATGCCCCAGGTTATGAGATCTCGAACGGTAGGAAGAAAATAATTGGCGGGGAGAAAAAAGAAAAGAAACCTTTGGAATCAAAAGACAGAGCCTGGGATAAATCTTAGGTGGAATGAACTTACTCAAATCAAATGAGTAGCTTTTTCTTCAGAGAGGGTCCACAGATTCATAGAATGACAGAGCTAGAAGGGACGTTGATCTGGTCCAAGCCCTCATTCTACAGATGAGGAACTGAGGTTCCGAGATGGGGAGTGACTTGCCTGACACCCTACATTATGTTAGTGCTAGACCCAGGCCTAGAACTTAGGCCTCCGATCCCATATTTACTAGTCCAGGGCTTTTTTCCCCCCCACCACTCTACCTCTGTCCCCATGGTAATGATGCTAGGTCCTTATCTGAAATCAAAACTTGCATGGAACAGTACAACTCGCCTATCTCATTAGTTTTGCAAATACCTTCTTGTCTGCTATCACCAAATGCTATTCAAAATTGGATTGAGACAACTTGAATTAGTTGAAAAGTTGTAGATAAGTATCTTTTATAATCTTTGGAAGGACCCTTAAGAACACAGAATGTTAGAGCTGAAAGGGACCTGAGAACAAAAAATGTTAGTTCTAGAAGGGAGCATTAGAGATCAAAGGAACCTTAGAACAAAGAATCTTTATATAGAGAAGGTTAGAACTGAAAGAAACCTTTAGATCTTAGAACGCCAGAGCTGTGTGGGACCTCAGAGAGCATCTTTATAGAGGAGATTTATAAAGGATGAAGACAGGCAAAGCTCCTGACTCCATTTATAATACTTCAATAATTACTAGTACTCCTATTAGAAAAATCAGAAGTTATGCCCTTCTTCCTCACATTGCCTTTGTTTGACATTTATGGTGAAGCAAAGATGGTGAAGTCCCATCCAACTCAGAATAGACTTCTCATCTACCAAGTCTGTCAAGATGGGAGTTGAATTAAGTGGGCTATTTCTCACTTTATGGAAAGGAGGGTGCCAAGCAGCAAGCAGAGGGGGAAGAAGTTTGCTTCTGATTGATTAAGAAGCCTGGCAAACCCAGAGAAGGCAATGTAGCGTACCTGTTAGGACAGATAAGCCTTCAAGAGCTGCTGGCAGGTTCTGATCTACTGTTGGGGGTCTACTGACCCCTTAGGTCCTCTACTGTTGGGGATCTACTGACCCCTTAGGTTCCCTCCAGCTTGGCAAGTGTTATGATTCTGTGATTGGCTGGGCTGGCTTCTCCTTGAAGCTGAAATTTCTTATTCCATTTTTTCGCCTCCGGATGCTCATTCACTTCCACAATCCTGCCAGTCATTGTAACCAAAGTGCCCATGTAGTTAATTATCTTTTAAAGAAATTGGAATATACGCAAGTAAGATCCAAATAACATCCCCAGTGACAAGAGGAAAACGTGAGTGGTTAAAATAAAAATTAAAAAAAAGCCTGACAAACATTTGAAGAACAGGTTGGCATTTGAGGGTGGTGACTGAAAAGTTGAGAGGTTAACTCCCCTTCAGCCTTTCCCCTTTATCTGTTTTGATATGAGGTGCTGATTATAATCTATACAGCTCTATATGTGTGGACCTGTCCATAGTTCAAGTTCATTGCCCACTAGAAAAAGCTGTTCAACTGCCAGATTTCTCTACCAACTCCAGTACCTCTTCTCTGATGTTCTATATGACTTTGTTTGATGGCCCCCTTCCCATGCTTTCTTTGCCCCTTCTTGAGCTCTGCTCCCATTGGATTCCGGCCCCAGGCTCCCTATCTTGCCTCATAGCCTCTCCACCCCTAGTGATTCATCACCCTCAGTTTTTCCATATCCCTTCACCTTTTTAAGGCAACAAATCTGAACTGGCAAGTTGTATTGCTCTAAGCATTCTCTTCAGTGCTAGTGGGCCTCTGCCCACCTACCTTTGCCCTCAGGGCTCCCCTTTTTGTCTCTGTGTTTTTAAGATGTCACCAACCTGTTAAGGGTCGTGGAAGACAGAATGGGAATACAGAGGCAGAGTTTTTGAAACAACCCCCAACCAGCATCTCCAGGTGTACTTTCAATTGTGAGTGAGGGAAGGCCCACCTAGTAAGGCCTAAAATACTTTCCCCACTGGACATTCACCATTCAACAAGGATCAGACTCAGGACAGAGAAGGCCCCCCCAGAGTGGGGACCCCAGGCACAAAGCAAGCATGAAACTGAACTGACATAGATCTCTTTTAGCATGTGACCAGCTTTTAGGAAATCTCAACTTTGGAATTGGATTCTGTGTGGGTGTTGTAAATAATTTTGTGTCTGACAAAAAGAGAAAAAAAAACAGAAGGAAAAAATGGATTAAAAAAACTTCAAATCTTGGAGGATTTGGGAGCCAATCAGAGACAGAGAATGGAAGACTCTGAGGGCAGAAAACAACAAGAAACAGCAGGAGGTGACCTTCCTGGGTGCTGGAGGCAGCCAGGCCAAGTTCTCCCCGGAAAAACTGTTTTAGTTGGAAGCTGTTCATCATTGTTGCATTGTGAACGCTACCACCGAGGCTTCCAGAGTTTTGCTACATCAGATGTGACATCTCGTCTGTGTATTTGGCTTTAAAAAAATGTGGGTTCCTTTAAAAAAAATCATAGCAACTGTGACTATATGATTAGCACATTGGAAAGTGGGGATCTTCTATCTCCTCCTTTCGAACACAAATCTGTCTGGATAATCTGAACTTTTTTAAAACTTTAAAGATATTTTTAAGACATTTTCAGCTTTTTTTAAATTAAAAAAAAATCCATGAGAGACTGTTCCGAACAGGAATATTTGTATTTGAACAAGATTTTTGGCATGTAATTCAGTCTTGCAGTATACAAGCTTTGTGTATAAATGTTTGATGATATCTCTGTTTGTACTTGGCAAGTTTTTTTTTTCTGTTTTGCTTTTTAGATAATATGTGTATCGATATTTTTAAGTCATCTTTGCTTTTCTTTTTTTTTAGAGAAGTTTGTAATCACCTTATAACAGATAAAAATAAACCTTTCCTTTATAAATCCAATGAGTCTTACAGTTGTAAAAAAAAAAAGGGGCATAACTTACTTTCACTGGAAATCAGATTCTTAATAAGATAGCTATAACTCAGAGCTGTAACTAGGACAGGATAACTGGGGCTTTGTCTAAGATGCCAATATTTAGAGGATATGCACAACATCTTCAGCCTTTCCCGTTTATTTGTCTGATATGAGGGTATAATTTCTTCTCCTAGAGACAGAACTCTGGGTGAGATTCCCCTCCCCGCCATCCCCTCCATTTCTCCCATTGCAAGTCCTAGCTATAAAAATTCCTAGTTAAGGCTCTGGCTTTTTCACAGAATCATAGCTGTCCACCTAGAGAGGCAGCATGAAGTTCTGTAGCAATGAGACTTTGGAATCAGAAGATTAATCTTACCTTAGTATAACTCATTAAACATCAACTGTGTGCTACCGCAAGAAAAGCCATTAAAAAAAAAAGTCAACCTCCTCAAGTCTCAGTTTCCTCTTCTGTATAATGAGAGTCTTGGGACGAGACTCCTAAGGTTCCTTCTGACTCTAAATTCCTTTAGCTGTAATAGTCTACATTCCTACAACACCTTAAGGTTAACAAAGTGCTTTCCTCAAAGCATCCTTGTGAGTTAGGTAAGATTTGGGCAGAGTTTAACCCGACCTTTTTACAAAGGAGGAAACTGAATTGTCCAAAGTAACCCCATAAGTCAGCAGAGCCAAGACAGACCCCAATCCAGTGATCTTTTGGGCACATCACCACTCTCAGCTCTCAATGGGTGATGAATGAATGAGTGTACACCCATAAACGTCCTCCCCTAGAAAAATGGAATTGTTTTCATTTTGAGCCCAAGCCTTTGATTGATCTAGTTTATACTAGGGACACAAGGTTGTCATTTGGGACTGTGGCGGTGCGTATTCATGTATCTGCTTCGTTTGTTCCAAAGAAGCATTTTGGAAACCCACAGACACAGGCAGTGAACCTGATGTAGCCCAGGAGCTTCCAACCTACAAAAATACCACAGACTCCCATTTCTTCGCAGGCATGCTCCTCACCAAACCCCTGCCTCGTAGGAAGGCAAGCTTTCCGCTTGATGGATGAGGAAGCTGGGGCTCCCAGAGCAGGGTCCCAGCTAGTCAGGATTTGGAGCCAAGACGCCTGCCCAGGTCCAGTGTCCTTTCCGCTACACTGAGCTCCCAAAGGCAGCGTGCCAAGAATTGGGAAGGGCTTTTTTTCATGCAACAGGAAATTATAATCTTGGTACATAAACATACACCCACATTGGCCTGCAGCAGCAGCCAGATTGTCTGAAGGAATTACTAGAAGAGACTAGAACGAGCAGTACAGTCCCAGGTGTAGTGGGAAGGAGAAGGGGGAGAAGAAGGCAGAGGGGGAGGGGGGAGAAGGCAGAGGGGGAAGGGAGGAGAAGGCAGAGGGGGAGGGGGGAGAAGGCAGAGGGGGAGGGTTTCTTACTCTTCTTGGGGGTGGTGGGGTATTCTTAGGGTTAGTGACTTGACTAAGCTATTCCTGCTTCCCCCCCTAATTTATCTGTGGGACAGTGGAAAGAACATGAGCTCTACAGTCAGGACTTGGGTTCAGACGCTGGCTTAATTTGTTATGACTTGTGGTAATAACCCACTTAATTTTAGTGGCTGCTGCTTCTGTATGACTTAGTCATGTAATTTCTCCGGACCTCAGTTTCCTCTAAAGGATCAGACATCTTGAAGGTCTCTTCCAGAGTCAAAAACATGTCTTTCCTAATAATTGATATTTATAATAGCACTTTAGGTTTGCAAAGTGCTTTGTACAAACTCATTTGAGTCGCTAGCTCAGTGAGAAAGAATCCATGAGGCAGAGGTATCACTACTGGATTTCCCAGGCCTTCCTGCCTTCCAACCATGTTGGCTTTCTTGGGAAAACTTGAGCACCACCTATACACTGCAGTGCCCTGGACCCAGCTGAAAAGCGGGCGCCAAAGCCACCATGGCCCAAGGGTCATTATCTGTAAAGTAAGAAAGAATAAACCATAAAGTAGGATGAAAGCCTTGGCCTGCCACTTCTGCCAAGTCCCTGATCTGGGCTGAGGGTTGACCCAGGGCTGTTTGCAGAGGGAACCCGTGCTCTAGATTTCAAAGGTGGGCCTAGAACCTCACAGGCCTCGACTCTTTGGTGCAGAGGAAGAAAACTCAAGAAGCAAAAGGCCAGAGTTAGAATCTTAGCTCTACTGCTAAGTACCCGTATGACTTCAGACGCATCATTTAGACTTCTTTGTGTTCTGGACCATTGTGGCCATCAGCTTGGTGAAGCCTACAGACCCCTTCTCAGGATCATATTTTTAAATGCATAAAATAAAATTTGAAGGATTGCAAAGGAAATCAATTATACTGAATTTCAGTTATCAAAATGTTTTTAAAAAGCAGGTTCACAGGCAGTTAGGTGGTACAGTGGATAGAGCATGGGCCCTGGAGTCAGGAGGACCTGAGTTCAAACGTGGCCTCAAACTCTTGACACTAGCTGTGTGACCCTAGGCAAGTCATTTAACCCCAATTGCCTCACCAAAAAAAAGAAAGAAAGAAAAAAAGAAAGAAAGAAAAGCAAGTTCACAGACTCCAGGTTAAGAAGACCTGGTCTTCTCCAGTCCTCATAGAATGTCAGAGAAGGGACATCAAAGGACATCACATCCAATTCATCCTTGAGGAGAATTCCCACTACCACACATCTGACTTTTCTGATAGTGCCTCTCTTTTTCTTAGTATCCTGCCGTCTCTGGTCCCACCCACAGAGTAGTGTCCTTGACTTGAAAACTTCCAGCAGGGGAAATCTCTGACCACCTGAAGCATCCCATTCCACTTTTGGATAGCTGTTCTTTTTTAGAAATTCTTCCTGACATCAAGCCCAAATTTGTCCCTCTGCAATGTGTGTCCTTTGCTTGTATCTCTGTCCCTAGGGGTCAAAGAGAACAAAAATGAATCCCTCCTCTATGCGACAGTCAACTATTAGATCTCTCCTCTTCTGTTCTCCAGACTTAAACATCTCTGGTTCCTTCAATTGCTCTTCACAGAACATGAACTTAAGGTCCTTTGCCATCCTAGTAGCTATTCTTTTTCTTTTCTTTTTTTCTTTTTAGGCAATTGAGGTTAAGTGACTTGCCCAGGTCGCACAGCCACTAAGTGTCTGAGGCGAGATCAGAACTTAGGTCCTCCTGATTCCAGGGCTGGTGCTCTATCCACTGCGCCACCTAGCTGCCCCCCGGTTTCTATTCTCTAAATACCCTCCAACTACATTTTATCAATGTCGTTCCAAACTATGGTCTCCAGATCAAAACATGGTACCCTAAATGTGGTCTGACCACTGGAGAGTACAGAAAGACTATTGCCTCTTTTCCCCAGCCTATCCCAGGGCTATTTTCTTTCCCTGGTCTAAACCATTTTCTTCTAAACTGCTTGGACTTGGCTAAGGGGTAGAGTCTGGGGTGAAGGACGGAGGGGATGAGCATAGGGCCAGACTGGAAGGACAGAGGGATTCCATTTCTGCTCAACTGCTTTTCCAGGGTCTGTTGTTCTGGAAGTGCTCCCCAGACTCCACCTCTTCCCTCTACACTCAGGGAGCCTGAATTGCAAAATCTGGCTGATGGAGTGAGGACTCAGAAGTCAGGAGCCCTGGGTTCTAATCATAACTCTGAGTTTCTCCTTTGTGACATAATGGGGAAGAAGGGCAGGGGAGAAAGGCATTCCGGAAGGTCTCTTCCAACAGTAATGGGAAATGCCAATCCCTTATTCCAAATGCACCTATCTGTTTGATAAAAGGATTACTGCTCTCTCCTTACTCCACCCTTAAAATGATACTAATGACAAGAGCAATGATAGCTTTTATAGGTGTGCAAAGTACTTTACATGTATTATCTCACTGAATCTTCATAGTAATACTTGGGAGGTAGGTGCTATTATTATCCCCATTTTACAGATGATCAGGGATTCATGGACAGATTTACAGGCATCCTAGATTCAATGATCAGATTGATAGATTACTGGGATGATAGATTTTGAGCTGAAAGGCCATGTAGTCCTATCACCTCATTTCATAGATGAGGAAACTGAGGCCTAAAGGAAGAGAAGGGACTTGCTTAAGGTCACACAGCTGGTGTGTGGCAGAACCAGGGAATCAGACTCAGATCCGTCTGATTCCCCATCCCGTTCTCTTCTCCCAGCTCCACGCCTTCTTTAGGACTTGGAGAAGGGTGAGGATAGTTTCCATAGCAATGGGCTCCTGGTGACCTGAGGTCTCTGTCCCAGCCACAGAATAGTGTCCACCCTCCCCAACTCCAACTTTTGTGCCTCTTGCCCCAGAGTTGACATA